ATGGGTTTTTTAACCACGAGTTTTTTAACCATGGGCTTCCCAGGTGGCGCTAGTGGAAAAGAATCTGCCTGCCAATGCAGGATACTTAAGAGATGTAGGTTTGATCCCTGAGTCAGGAAGATTCTCTGGAGGAGGGCATGGTAACCAACTCCAGTATTCTTGCCTGGAAAATCCCGTGGACAGAGGAGCCGGGAGTCTGTGGTACATAGAGTCGCAAAGGTACATAGAGTCGCAAAGAGATGGACACAATGAAGCGACAGCACACACGCATAGGCAACAATAAGCAAATGAAAAGTTGCTGGGCTATAGGAGGATGTATTGGTTTTCTAGGGCCCCCACAACAAAAACACAATGTGCTGGGTTCCCTTAAACAACAGAAGTTTGTCTCCTCACAGTTTCAGAGGCCAGAAGTCCAAGATCGAGGAGCCAGGAGGTTGGTTTCCTCTGAAGGCCGTAAGAGGAGGAACGGCCGCAGGGCCCTCTCCTTGGCTTGCACCTGGCTTCCTTCCTCTCCACGTGTCCACCCCTCTGTGCACGCTGCTGGGGTCTCTTTCTCTCCTTATGAGAAAACCAGTCATATGGGAATAGGTGCCCACGCTAATGGCCTCATTTTAACTTAATTACCTCTTTGAAGACCTTAGCTCCAAATAGGATTACATTCAGATGTTATGGGGACGTACAAATTTGAGTAGGGAGACCCAATTCAGTCTGTGTAACATGGTAAAGAATGGAAATAGAGAGACCAGTTAGGATATTTCTGCAGCGTTTCAGCAAAAGGTACTAGTGTTTTGGATTAGGGTTTTGAGCATAGAAGATAGAAGTGGATGGATTAGGGAATTATTTTAGAGGTAGCATGAATGGATTTGCCACTTTTTTTTTGGGGGGGGGACCACATTCATGCTGCTTGCAGGGTCTTAGTTCCCAAACTAAGATCAAACCCAGGCACCCTCCCCCACCCATAGTAGAAGTGCAGAGTCTTATCCACTGTTGCTGCTAAGTCGCTTCAGTCATGTCGGACTCTGTGTGACCCCATAGACAGCAGCCCACCAGGCTCTGCCGTCCCTGGGATTCTCCAGTCAAGAACACTGGAGTGGGTTGCCATTTCCTTCTCCAATGTATGAAAGTGAAAACTGAAAGGGAAGTCGCTTCAGTCGTGTCCGACTCTTAGGGACCCCGTGGACTGCAGCCCACCAGGCTCCTCCATCCATGGGATTTTCCAGGCAAGAGTACTGGAGTTGGGTGCCATTGCCTTCTCCTCTTATCCACTGGATACCAGGAAATTCCCAAGTTTGCCATTTCTAAGCGAGATAAAGAAAAGTCTCAAGATTATCAGATTTTTGGTCTAAGCAATGAGGCTGTGTGTGCTGAGATAAAGAAGATTCTTTCCCTTAGACTATATTGCTCTCCTGAGCCAGGTTGAGGTGATTCTGTTTACATTAAAAAGGGTGGATTGTAACCCACCAGGCTCCTCTGTCCATGGGATTTTCCAGGCAAAAATACCTAGAATATGGCAAAAAAAAGACTTTGGAACTTGATTTCTTTTTCACAGTCTCCTAACCATAAATAAAGGAAATTTTAACAGCCTGGTCGGTAAACTCTGAAATTATTATTCTTCTGGAAGAAAAGCCATGAGAAAAATCTTTGTTCTCCAGGCAAAGATTTCCTAGGTATGACACTGAAGGCTTGATTCACAAAATAGCAAATTAATTGATTGGATTTCTTCATCAAAGCTTAAAACTTCTCTTCAAAGCCCATTATTAGGAAAATAAAGACACAAGCTGAGACAGGGAGGAAATACTTGCAAAGCACGTACATAATAAGGACTTCTATTGGAATGTGTAAATAATTCTCAGAGGCAAATATTATAAAAAAAATTAAAATAAACAAAGCCCCTTCACATATGATATAGAGAAGGAAAATGAGCACATGAAAAGTTACTCAACTTAACATCCTTAGTCATTAGAGGAGTTGCAAACTAAAATGACGAGATACCTCTGCACAGCTGCAGAATGGCTAATTGTGACATAATAAGAAATGTGTATTTAGGAGCTTCCTTGGCAATCCAGTGGTTAAGACTCCATGCTTCCATTGGAGGGGGCATGGGTTCCACCCCTAGTCGGGAAACTTAAGATACTTCATGCTGCATGGCACAGTCAAAAAAGAAAAAAAAGAAATATACGTTTGGTCACTGCCCCTGATTCCTGACACAAAGTTCCAATGGGTCCCTTGGAATTTCCTGAGTGACAGAAGCATCTTCAGTGGCCTCTGGATAGCTTCAGGATGGAGGCTGGTCTCCAGGAAGACAAAGCCAGGATTTGAAGCTTGGAACTTCAAGCTTACAGTGAGGGAAGGGAGCTGACGTTCACCTGCACAATGCAGTCTCCATAAAAATCTTTAAACTGTGAGATTCTGAGAGTTTTCAGGTTGATAAACACATCCTTGTGTTGGGCCTGGTAGGGTGCTTCAGTTTAGCCACTCAGTCATGTTCAAATCTCAGCAACCCCATGAACTTCAGCACACCAGGCCTCCCTGTCCATCACCAACTCCCAGAGTTCACCCAAACTCATGTCCATTGAGTCCGTGATGCCATCCAACCACCTCATCCTCTGTCATCCCCTTCTTCTCCTGCCTCCAATCTTTCCCAGCCTTAGAGTCTTTTCACATGAGCCAGCTCTTCACATGAGGTGGCCAAAGTATTGGAGTTTCAGCTTCAACATCAGTCCTTCCAATGAACACCCAGGACTGATCTCCTTTAGGATGGGCTGGTTGGATCTCCTTGCAGTCCAAAAGACTCTCAAGAGTCTTCTCCAACACCACAGTTCAAAAGCATCAATTCTTTGGCACTCAGCTTTCTTTATAGTCCAACTCTCACATCCATACATGACTACTGGAAAAACGATAGCCTTGACTAGATGGACCTTTACTGACAAAGTAATGCCTCTGCTTTTTAATATGCTATCTAGGTTGGTCATAACTTTCCTTCCAAGGAGTAGGTGTCTTTTAATTTCATGGCTGCAATCACCATCTGCAGTGATTCTGGAGCCCCCAAAAATAAAGTCAGCCACTGTTTCCCCATCTATTTCCCATGAAGTGATGGGACCAGATGCCATGATCTTAGTTTTCTGAATGTTGAGATTTAAGCCAACTTTTTCACTCTCCTCCTCCACTTTCATCAAGAGGCTTTTTAGTTCCTCTTCATTTCTGCCATAAGGGTGGTGTCATCTGCATATCTGAGGTTATTGATATTTCTCCCGGCAATCTTGATTCCAGCTTGTGCTTCTTCCAGCCCAGCATTTCTCTTTTTTTTTTTTTTTATTAGTTGGAGGCTAATTACTTTACAATATTGTAGTGGTTTTTGTCATACATTGACATGAATCAGCCATGGATTTACATGTATTCCCCATCCCGATCCCCCCTCCCACCTCCCTCTCCACCCGATCCCTCTGGGTCTTCCCAGTGCACCAGGTCCGAGCACTTGTCTCATGCATCCAACCTGGAGCCCAGCGTTTCTCATGATGTACTCTGCATATAAGTTAAGTAAACGGTGACAACATACAGCCTTGATGTACTCCTTTTCCCATATGGAACCAGTCTGTTGTTCCATGTCCAGTTCTAATGGTTGCTTTCTGACCTGCATACATATTTCTCAAGAGGCAGGTCAGGTGGTCTGGTATTCCCATCTCTTCCAGAATTTTCCACAGTTTATTGTGTGCTACACAAAGGCTTTGGCATAGTCAATAAAGCAGAAACAGATGTTTTTCTGGAACTCTCTTGCTCTTTCAATGATCCAGCGGATGTTGGCAATTTGATCTCTGGTTCCCCTGCCTTTTCTAAAACCAGCTTGGACATGTGGAAGTTCATGTTTCATGTATTGCTGAAGCCTGGCTTGGAGAATTTTGAGCATTGCTTTACTAGCGTGTGAGATGAGTGCAATTGTGCAGTAGTTTGAGCATTCTTTGGCACTGCCTTTCTCTGGGATTGGAATTAAAACTGACCTTTTCCAGTCCTGTGACCACTGCTGAGCTTTCCAAATTTGCTGATATATTGAGTGCAGCACTTTCACAGCATCATCTTTCAGGATTTGAAATAGCTCAACAGGAATTCCATCACCTCCACTAACTTTGTTTGTAGTGATGCTTCCTAAGGCCCACTTGAGTTGACATTCCAGGATGTCTGGTTCTAGGTGAGTGAGCACACCATTGTGATTATCTGGGTCATGAAGATCTTTTTTGTACAGTTATTTTGTGTATTCTTTCCACATCTTCTTAATATCTTCTGAGTCTGTTAGGTCCATACCATTTCTGTCCTTTATTGAGCCCATCTTTGCATGACATATTCCCTTGGTATCTCTAATTTTCTTGAAGAGATCTCTAGTCTTTCCCATTCTATTGTTTTCCTCTACTTCTTTGCATTGATTGCTGAGGAAGGCTTTCTTTTTTTTTTTTTTTTAATTTTTACTGAGTTTTATGTTTTATTAAATTTAAAAATACAACTCAAAATTTTTAAAATAAGGTTATAAGAAATTTAAAAAATGGTAATTTTAACACTTTTTTTTTTTTAATCACAACCATAGTGTATCTTTTTTTTTTTTTTTTTTACATGTATTCCCCATCCCGGTCCCCCCTCCCACCTCCCTCTCCACCCAATCCCTCTGGGTCTTCCCAGTGCACCAGGCCCGAGCACTTGTCTCATGCACCCAACCTGGGCTGGTGAACTGTTTCACCCTAGATAATATACGTGTTTCAATGCTGTTCTCTTGAAACATCCCACCCTCGCCTTCTCCCAGAGTCTACAAGTCTGTTCTATACATAGGAGTCTCTTTTTCTGTTTTGCACATAGGGTTATCGTTACCATCTTTCTAAATTCCATATATATGTGTTAGTATACTGTAATGGTCTTTATCTTTCTGGCTTACTTCGCTCTGTATAATGGGCTCCAGTTTCATCCATCTCATTAGAACTGATTCAAATGAATTCTTTTTAATGGCTGAGTAATATTCCATGGTGTATATGTACCACAGCTTCCTCATCCATTCGTCTGCTGATGGGCATCTAGGTTGCTTCCATGTCCTGGCTATTATAAACAGTGCTGCGATGAACATTGGGGTACACGTGTCTCTTTCAGATCTGGTTTCCTCGGTGTGTATGCCCAGAAGTGGGATTGCTGGGTCATATGGCAGTTCTATTTCCAGCTTTTTAAGAAATCTCCACACTGTTTTCCATAGTGGCTGTACTAATTTGCATTCCCACCAACAGTGTAAGAGGGTTCCCTTTTCTCCACACCCTCTCCAGCATTTATTGTTTGTAGACTTTTGGATAGCAGCCAGAGGAAGGCTTTCTTATTTCTCCTTGCTATTCTTTGGAACTCTGAATTCAAATGGGAATATCTTTCCTTTTCTCCTTTGCCTTTCACCTCTCTTTGTTTCACAGCTATTTGTAAGGCCTCCTCAGGCAGCCATTTTGCTCTTTTGCATTTCTTTTTCTTGGGGATGGTCTTGATTCCTGTCTCCTGTACAATGTCACAAACCTCTGTCCATAGTTCATCAGGCACTCTATCAGATCTAGTCCCTTAAATCTATTTCTCACTTCCACTGTATAATCATAAGGGATTTGATTTAGGTCATACCTGAATGGTCTATTGGTTTTCCCCACTTTCTTCAATTTAAGTCTGAATTTGGCAATAAGAAGTTCATGATCTGAGCCACAGCCAGCTCCAGGTTTTGTTTTTGCTGACTGTATAGAGCTTCTCCATCTCTGGCTGCAAAGAAAATAATCAATCTGATTTCTATGTTGACCATCTGGTGATGTCCATGTGTAGAGTCTTCCCTTGTGTTGGTGGAAGAGGGTGTTTGCTATGACCAGTGTGTTCTCTTGGCAAAACTCTATTAGCCTTTGCCCTGCTTCATTCTGGCATACCCCAGCTCCAAGGGACAGAAGAAGCTCCTGCACTGGGACCCTTCCAGACCTATGTGTCTCTTCATCTAGCTACTCATCTGTATGCTTTATTATTTTTTTAATTTTTAAAATTTATTTAATTATGGCTGTGCTATGTCTTCACTGCTGTAAGGGCTCTTCTCTAGTTGCGACGAGTGGGGGCTACTCGCTAGTTGTAGTGTGCTGGCTTCTCACTACAGTGGCTTCACTTGCCATGGAGCACAGGGTCTAGGGTGTGTAGGCTTCTGTACTTGCAGCTCCCGGTCTCTAGATCACAGGTTCAGTAGTTGTGGCGCCCAGGCTCAGTTGCTCTGAGGCATGTGGGATCCTCCTGGATCAGAGATTGAACTCATGTTTCCGGCATTGGCAGGTGGATTCTTACTCACACAAAAAAACCTGATGATCATAGGGATTGCAGGCACGTTCAAGCTATTGCATTTTGTAAGGTTTCTTTTATCATTTAAATGAGTTTCCAAATTCTGCATGCTTACAACAAAGTTTCAGAAGTCCCCAAATGAACCTTCACTCAGCCAGACTTGGTAACTGGTACTGAATTATAAGTAGTGCCTCAGTGTGGGATGGCTGGGTTTCCAGTCATAGTGTTCTAATCTGTATTACAAAAATGTTACATTTTATTTTAGGAAAATCAAATATCCACATGATGGCACTATAACCCACAAAATAAGAGGCTGTCAGTTTATGAAGATCAAGGGCTTCCCAGGTGGCATTAGTGGTAAAAGAATCTGCCTGCCAATGCAGCAGACCAAGAGACCCAGGTTTGATTCCTGGTCAGGAAGATCTCCTGGAGAAGGAAATGGCAACCCTCTCCAGTATGCTTACCTGGAAAAATTCCATGGACAGACGAGCTTGGCGGGCTGTAGTCCATGGGGTGCAAAAGAGTCAGACACAACTTAGTACTTGCCAGTAGCAGCAAGGACCTGGTAAATTCTAGTTGTTGTTTAGTTGCTAAGTCGTGTCCTACCTTTGTGACCCCATGGACTGCAGCACACAAGGCTTCCCTATCCCTCACTATCTCCTGAGTTTGCTCAAATTTATGTCCACTGAATCAGTGATGCCACCCAACCATCTCATCCTCTGTCCTCCCCTTCTCTTCCTGCCCTCAATCTTTCCCAGCATCAGGGTCTTTTCTAATGAGTTGGCTCTTCTCATCAGGTGGCCAAAGTATTAGAGCTTCAGCTTCAGCATCAGTCCTTCCAATGAATATTCAGGACTGATTTCCTTTAGGATTGACTGGTTTGATCTGGATAAGAAGAACAAAAGCAGGTGACCAGCTATTAAGAGCCTAATATGAAGATGCAACTGTATTGGGAGCTACTTAATGTGTTACCCATAATATCATTTCTCCCTATTATTGAATTAAGGAATAACTCAGAAGTTATCAGGGAAGCTGCATTGGATAAGACAGATGTCATCATGGAGTTTACATTCTGGCAAGGGAGATGGGCTTTAAATACGTGATGATCCCAAAGAGTTGGTTACTACTTAGCAACTGAACAACAACAGGGATACAGGCTCTGTCTTGAGTTGTCACTGGAACCGGCTGCAAATTCTTTTCGGCCCCCTCTGACTCATATTTGCATTTGAAGCCCTCTGTCTGATGGATTCTATCTACAAAGAATGTATAGTTTGGTTTTTAAAAATTTAGTGATAAACAAGTAGGTGGAGAACAATGTTTTGGGAAGGAGAGTGATCACAATTCCCCATAAATCACTGGAAGCTAAAGATCTATTCTTTCAGCACATGGTCAACCTTGAACAAAACAAAGGTTATGACTTTTCAGGTTTAGCATTCTGGTCTTTTTTTCCTTCTTATTTCTTCTAATGGCTCTCTCTCTCTCTCTTTTTTTTTTCTGAACTAAAATGAGCTTCATTGATTACTTCAGAATAAATACCCTGTGCAAGCCTTACCTCAGCACACACAGAAAAAGGACTTGGTTAACTTTTCTATTAGCTTTGTAATGTCCCTCAATTTTAACAGGAGGAGGAGACAGGCATCGATTATTGTCCTGGAAGAATTTCAAAGCTCAGCCAATGTGGAAAGGAGGACGTGAACTGGCCAGGTTATTACCTTCTCATCTCTGCTAGCAGACATTTACTGCTGACAGTAGGTCGGAATGGCCATAATCTAACATTGAACAGTTCAGGATTCTCCCCTTCTGGGATAACCGCACTGGGATCCTGCTGCTGCTGCTGCTGCTGCTGCTGCTGCTAACTCACTTCAGTCGTGTCCGACTCTGTGCGACCCCATAGACGGCAGCCCACCAGGCTCCTCGGTCCCTGGGATTCTCCAGGCAAGAGTACTGGAGTGGGTTGCCATTGCCTTCTCCGCACTGGGATCCTACTATTTCTCAAAGCTGCCCTCCTCCACCAGCACTACGTGACTTATACTCTTATTTTCTTTACTCAGCAACTTTTCAAATAGTGTCCTTGACGGCAGCTCTCGGTGTGACCCACTCCTGAGAACCTAAGGTCGGGCGTTGGGTCACCGTTATAACAGGGTTCCTGGTATACAACAGGTGATCGTTTCATCGGCCGGGATCGCCCCTATTACTAGAAAACCCCGGGTTTCCAGCTAGACGAAAACGAAACTCTGCCCTCTTCCAGGCGACGGTTTCGCTTGTTACCAAAAAGCCTTCCTGTCCTCCGTCAAATCACCAAATGGAGACGCCGGGACCCTGACAAGGTCGCCGAGGATCGGCGGCGGGCTGGGCCTCCGGGGCTCATGGCCGGCGGCGGCGGGGTGGTGTGCGTAGGATGCGCTCCCGGGCCTCGCCTGGCAGCTGGGGACAATCCAAAGGGAAGCCACTTCGGCACACACAACGGCAACACCTGGATTAGCAGTTTCCAATGGATTGACTTCCGGGAGCAGGTGCCACCAGGAAATTTCCGGTTTCTTCTGCACCTCCTCGGAACCCGCCTACAACGTGGCCTTCTTCCCCGCCCAGCCTACTTCCTCCTCCCGGCCCCGCCCCTGGCCCCTCCTCCCCACTTCAGACCCCTCCTCCCCACCTCAGACCCCTCCTCCCAGTCCGCCCTCAGGCCCCGCCCCTCACCTCCCCCTCCCCGTTCCATTCAATTGTTGGATTGTCGGCGCTGCACTCCCACCGGCGGCCGGCAGGGGGCGGGGTTCGAGCGTGGATTTCCCCGGCGTCCCCTGGGCAGGGACAGGCGCGGAGCCGGGCGGGCGGGTGGACGCGCGGACTCCAGGCCGCGAGCGGGCGGGCGGCTGCGACGCCGCGTTGGGTCGCGCTCGGCGGGGAGGCCGCGGCCGCATCAGCGCTGACGTGGGGCGACGTGGGCCGGCGGCTGTCCCGGTGGGGCTCGTCGTCCCACCTCCTCGCGTCCGTAAGCAGTGACGAGATCCGCTACGTAAATCGCTTCGCTGCGGGTAAGTGGCGCGCCGGCCGGCGGGACCCGCGGGGCCTGAGGCTGCGGCGCCGGAGCGGGGGCGGGGCGGGGCGGAGCGGATAGCCGGGGGCCGTTTGCCCCGCGCTCCTCAAGGGCTTTTTCCGAGGGGCCGCCGCTCCTGCTCCTGAGAGGGGAGGGCAAGTGGGCGACGCGAATCGGTCGGCTTCGCTCGCTCGCTGGAGCCGCCACCCCCGATCCTCGCGACCCGAGACAGACCGAGCGGTGCTTCTGGAAGGCACGCCACCTTCCTTCCCCGTGCCCCGCTGGCGCCGGGACCAGCCAGCCCGGCGACCGCGGTCCCGACCGCGGACTCAGAGGGACGAGCGTCCTCGGACATCTTCACCGCTCTCCCCGCCGGACCCGGATCCCTAGTGTGAGCCGCTTCCCTCCCTGCGCGGCTCGAGCAGCGGCGGTCGGCCGGCCAGTGGGTGAGCGATGCCGCCCGGCGGAACCAGCTCGGCCCACACCGCTGGCCCCGTAACCGAGCGGCTCACCCGAGCGGCTTCCGAACACCTCTGGCTTCCCCGCCGCATTCGCCGGGCTCCTGGGAGTGCAGCCGCCCTCCCTGGAAATAAACACAAACCGAGATGCGCAGGGCTGGAGGTCCAAGGTGAAGACTGTGTTTGAAGACAGGAAGGTCGTTTTCTCTGGTTGTTCCCCTGTGGGTACCACATCTTTGGCCTAGTCTCCATGCTGCTTTTGAATAACAAGCTGCTTTCCCCTCATAAGTCACAGTCTTTGAATCTTTGAACTTAAAGGGAACTTTTTCCCACTCAGTTCAGTTCAGTCGCTCAGTCGTGTCCGACTCTTTCCAACCCCATGGACTGCAGCACGCCAGGCTTCCCTGTCCATCACCAACTCCCGGAGCCTACTCAAACTTATGTCCATCGTGTCGGTGATGCCATCCAGCCGTCTCATCCTCTGTCCCCTTGTCCTCCCGCCTTCAATCTTTCCCAGCATCAGAGTCTTTTCCAGCGAGTCAGTTCTTCGTGTCAGGTGGCCAAAGTACTGTAGTTTCAGTTTCAGCATCATTCCTAACAATGAATATTCAGGACTGATTTCCTTTAGGATGAACTGCTTGGCTCTCCTTGCAGTCCAGGGGACTCTCAAGAGTCTTCTCCAACACCACAGTTCAAAAGCATCAATTCTTCGGTGCTCAGCTTTCCACTACAGAAAGGCAATCTGCAAACAATGTGTTTTGGCCTTTTTATAAGAAGTAGTAAAAATACTGATGTCTAAAGAGCTACTTGGTGATCCAGACATAGTTTTTGGGAAGATATTTCAATGGGTTTGATCCTGGATAAGTAAACGTTGAGAGCATTGTCATGTTAAGTGATGGTAATGACACAGACATTTTTGGTGCATCTGTAAAATGGTTAAGAGTAACCTAATGCTTGCACAATGACTTGCTCTTCAATCTGGAGTTGCTTTGGTGAGTGTGAAGTTGTAATTACACGGATGTTTTGTGTACACATTTTGTAAGAGTGTATGAATAAATTTTTATTGAATGTGTAAACAAAGAGGAGCACTTTAGTTTTTCTGTTTCCCTGTTGCCCCAGAAGCTTTCCTGAAATCTGGTGAATTTAACAAATTCCAGATTCCATAGACTAGTTTCCTACTGACGCAAATCATTGTATGATTAAAATATGAAATCATGTTTAGAATTATGGACATTTTATGAATAGTAGGGAAGAGTTTCAGGTTAACATACAAAAGGAGTCCTGAGTGAATCTTTTATCAGTGTAAACATATATTCCTGATACTGTTTTCTCCACCATCGTGTTCTCTACAAGTTAACATTGGGCCAGTTCAACTGGGGAATGTGCTCAAATGTCTTGGCCTATTTAGATAAACTTTGAAAAATAAAACTGAACAATGCAAACACTTAACAACTGCACCGTTGATGTTTTGACATGCAATCAGTATTGGTCATTAAGTAAATAAACCTGAAATGTCATTGAATCCTGTTAACTGTTTCTACTTAATGGGACTGCTGTTGACCCATATAAAAGTCAACTTTGAGAAGAGTTAGGATCCTACCTTGAATCCAGTTTCAATATTATCAGTACAGGTATATACATTGTAAAAATATAGATTTCAGGGGAAGTGTTTCTCATCCATTGTACATATGTAGATAACTTTGAAGAAACTAAGTTATACATTTTAAGTAATTTTGTTAATTCCCTTTTAAAGCACACAAAGTATGTAAAATACTTTTTACCATGAGAATTGTACAATAAACAGTGCCCTGTTTTTAAATCTTTCATTCATGGGTTTTCTTTTAATGATGCCATAGGATATCCAGTAGAAAATAAGAATGAAGAGAATAACCTAAGGATGACATTACTGGGGATTTATCTTAATATTACTCATGAAGACAAGTTGAGTCTTACGGTATAATTCAGTTATAGCAAATTTTAAAAATATCTATTTTGCAAATCTCTTGACACCATCCCAGGAGCATTACAGGAAATTACTGGCAAGGTGCATGCAAAACAGTTTTGAAAAGAAGCATGGGCTGGTAAGGTTATTTGGAACTGTTTAAAATAACTGTCTCACTGGTGAGGAAGGATGCTTGCCTCCAAGAAAACCTTACTAGCAACTTTTTGTGAGGCTCTCCTGAAGTCTCTCTCCCCAAATGAGAAGCAGGTTCACGCACACTTTCTGAGCAGTGAACAGGCCAATCAAATGTCAAAGTGAAATCCTGCTAAATTTTAACAGTGGGGTTCATGTGATTCTGATATTTTTACTTTTGATGATTCCTGAAAATAAACTCAGTTTCTTAAAAGTTATCTTAGTGAACGTTTTTGTTTTTGTTTAAACTCAGCATACTTAAAATTAGAACATCCTAACTCAGAATGTCAAGTGTTATATAGTTTTGTTCACATTCTCAAACAGCTTCAATTTTTTTCGACCTAGAAATGCTTAGTAATTTATAGCATAGCATTGATTATCATGAAAGTTTCCAGCTCTGGCATTGGGACAGCTATGTATCATGCATAAAGACACTTGGGATGCTCTTTCATTTGTTAAAATTATCAGAGGAGTGAAGTTTAACTTATTTAGACTGTGTCTGCACTTGGACACTAATTTTGTTCGCATATGCAAGATAGGACCAAGCTGAGTATCACAACATTGAAATTCATTTCTATAAACTTTAGCTAATTCCAGTGTCTTACCTACTCTTTCCTTGATTTACTAGTTAGTGGTCAGTGCAGTTGTACTTTATATGTAGGTAAGTGTTTTGAAATATACCTAAAGTGCAGCAATGGAGCATGCTGTTGAAAAACCCTACAGTGATTATTAGTCAAACAATAACTTCCCCCAAAGATTGAAAGTTTTGTTTCCTTTCATGAATTGGGGCTGCAGCAGGGAAGGGGGCCATGATTACTTGAATTTCATTTTTAAAGAGTTAATATTTCTTAAATAATATTAGGTATCTGAGGTGGCTCTGTGGTAAAGAATCTGCCTGCTAATGCAGGAGACATGGGTTCAGTCCCTGTGTTGAGAAGATCCCCTGGAGGAGGAAATGGCAACCCACTCCAGTATCCTTGCCTGGGAAATTCCGTGGAGAGGGGGAACCTGGCGGCCTGCAGCCCATGGATCACAAAGAGTCTGACACACCTGAGTGAGCATGCATACACACGTAATAGGTATCTGAAGCAATTAAACTGGGTGGTCTTGAATCTGTATTAGAATGCTGCTTGATTTTCTGAGTGATTCATGTTCAAAATAGTGAAGACAGTATTTACAAGTGTATCAAATAATTATTCACAAAAACTATTCCTGACCACTTGTATTTTTACAGAGAAGTGTAAAAATTGTTATTTGAAACTTATTCTAATTTTGCTCACAAAGATTACAAAAAGTTAAAAGTGGCATGATTTCCTGTTACTACTGTATTTTTTGTTTTTCCTGTACTCATCTTCACCTAAAAATACATAATAATCATAGGCTTATCCCTGTCAACTTCACATATATGGCTTTTGGTAATTGAAGTTGACTGTTGAACAACATGGGGGTTAGAGGCGCCAACCCCTGAATATCCCCATATACTTTTTGACTCCCCTAAAACTTAACTGCTAATAACCTATTATTGACCAGAAACCTCACCAATAACATAAACAGTCAATTGAAATGTATTTTGTATATGTATTATATACTATATTCTTAAAGAAGCTAGAGAAAAGAAAATTATTAAGAAAACCATAAGGAAGAGAAACATTTATAGGACTGTACTGATTTATCAGTACTATAAATTGACAAGAGGAATCATTTGTCAGTACATCAATACTATCTTAGATGATACAAATCACTGTAGCTGTTATATGTATTCCTAACACTAGACATGAAAAATGAAAAGATAATATGAAAAGAAATTTTGTTTCATTTATAGATATAATGATTCATGCATTGACAGTGGCACAGTAGCCTAGGCTATACACTAATGAATGAATCCTTATAGAAATTTATGGCATATAATATTACAGTCATTTATAATACAGTATTGGAAACATTGTTACATTAAAAAACAAAACACCTATCATGACAGTTTTTCCAATTATGAGAGTGAGGCATACTGTATGGTCATGTAACCCTCTGAAAGTTATGAAACAGTAAGAAAACTAATACATTGTATTAAGTGCCTACCACTCACCTTATGCCTGTGTTCAGCTAGTTTAGAATCTCCGTATATTTTATGCATTCATGACATACCTTTTTAAAAAAAAATTTTTCAGTATTTGTAGGCTATGAGTTTCACCTGAAATTTTTTCAAATTGTTGCCTGTTTCCCCCAAATTTCCAATATATCTTTTGAAAAGAATCCACATATAGGTGGACCGACACTGTTTCAATCCTGTATTGTTTAAAGGTCAGCCGTACTTCTCTTTTCTAGCTAGCCTGCCCTTCCCCAACTTTTTAATTGACTTGATTGAGAAGAACCAGCTTTACGTTATGAACTTCATAGTCTTCTCCTATCTTTTTCCAAACCTTACTGTTGCTACTTAAATCATAGTTAACCTGTGAGGGTCTCCTACTTTCCCGAAGAGATAAAAATCTTTCTTCAGCCACAGCCCAAGAAGCAGATTGTACATTCCTGTGTTCTCTCTTTGCCTGCTTCCGTTAGAGGTGCACCACCCTTTATTCCTCATTCTTTTCATCTTGACCATGCTCATTGTAGTGGGACTTCAGTTTTGTCTTTCTTGTGAAAACCATAGTCCAGTAAGGGCTAGAACTCAAGCTGACACCCAGATCAGCCTGCAGTGCTGTGGTCTTTAGATCGCACACTGTGCTGCCATGTATGACCATTAGACCACACTGCCTCCTCAGGACCTGGGGCCAGACAAAGGAAGCGGGAGTGAAGACAGAGGATGCCCAGATACGGTGCCTGGGGCCATGGTGATGTCAGCCTCCAGCTGAGATAAAAAATATAGCAGGAAGGGAGATGTAGAGCAAAGGAGTTGAGGTTAGTTTTAAATATTTCAGGCTTGAGAATCTGTGAACAAACTGTTAAGAGATGTCAAATAGGCAGATATATACAGGCCCAGATGGCACTGGTGGTACTGCCAATAAAAGAGACAAAAGTTCAATCCCTGGGTCAGAACGAGTCCCCTGGAGGAGGAAATGGCTACCCTCTCCAGTATTCTTGCCTGGGAAATGCACAGAGGAGCTTCCATGGCATTGCAAAAGAGTCAGATACTCCTGAGCATTCAACCAGAGAGGGGTCAGGCTGGAGGTGAGATGTGAGACTCATCTAGCATGGATGAAGCAGTCTTGAGGGAGAGTGTGGCTGTTTTTGTGACTGGGAGCATGGAAACACCAACCCTTAAAGAGTGGGCCAAAGGAGACTGGGGCAAAGGACTGGACAACTTGGCAGGGAAGCTTGAATTTGGTGCCCTGAAGAGTTCAAGGAGGACAAAATTTGATGAGTAGGAGATGCTCTTAGGTGTATTAAGGAAGATAGAGACTAAAAACCATTGCTTTAGATGTGGCAAGCAGGTAGTCAATGATGACTTCTTAGAGAGTATTGGGAATGAAATAATTTTCAACTTTCTATGCTTTTTTTAAAAAATTTTATGGAACTAGGGTATTTTGCTGTAGTTGTGAGAGATTTTAATTTTTTTAAAATCTTATGATCCCCCAATTCAACATTGTAATTTTGCTGCAGGATAAATACAGAAGAAAACAGGAAGGAGCAAAGCATTAATTATAAATGTCTTAATAATGAGCAAATGTGGCAGGAAAAAATATATGAAGACAAATCTAAGGTAGGTGGATATGTTATTTTTCTATTCTTTTGAAAGTTCTTAGCTTAAAGTTAAAATGGATAAATTAAGTGTGTGTATATATGTACATGTGTTTGTGTATGTATATGGGTTGTGTGTGTATATATATATATATATATATTTTTTTTTTTTTTTTTTACAATAAAACTATAATAGTATGTACCCAAATTGCTCAGTTTTTCAATTAGGGAGTTTGTCTTCTACTGTGAGTTGTGCTAGGCAACATAGGAGTTGATTGGTCACTCATGGTCAGCTCGTTCTAAGTGCTGGCCTTTTCAGTTACAAACGAGATGGTATATATGGAAGTGGACAGAGTTTTCATTTTCATTCTTGCCTTTACTCAACACCTGTACCTAAGGTTGTAAAACAGCACATCTCTACCAATGTTTTCTGGAAATCCAAATACTATTTTTCAGATTTTGTTTTAGTTATTTTCAGAGACATTCTGGTTCATCAGTTGGGTCTAGCAGCCAAAATAAAATGAATTTTTCATGACAGTTTTTATAAAACTGTTTAAAAAGACATAATAAAAAAACTTTAATCATTTTTCCTTCTGTTGCTGGATTCTGTTTTTTAAGCAGGTGAAAAAGTTTTGCATGGATAAATATAGTTGCTCCGCAGTATAATTTGTCTTTACAAATTGGATACAACTAAGATTTTCAAAGTTATTAATTGTACATTTTAATTATAACTAGGAAGCTACTTTTATTTTTCATTTAGATATTTTTGGCTTGTATGTCTTTTCTTTGTTTCTTTCTTTTTTTTTTCTTCCTTTCTTTAAAGAATATCTTCCTGGGTACCTAGGATAGAATTTTTCAAAAATGTTTTTCCTTTTTCTTCTCATTTTTTCTTCTTTTTAAATATCTTGTGTGTGCTTGGTACATAGGTATGCCAAAATAACTTTGGTCATTAATTATCTCAATATTTCTATAATTATAAAAACATAATTTTTACAAATATACTCCTTTGTATTCATTTCTTCAAAATGTGTTATATAAATCATATATAAACAGTACTGTACTGTTTGCTGTAGTTCAGTATTTTGGGGAGTTTTTGAAATATGACATAGATGTTCTACTAAAAGCCTAGAAAATAACAGTAACCCACAAATACAATTCTACCCACACTAAAGGTAGTTCACCCTAGAAGACTTTGAAAACTGTGCAACTGAGTGGATCCTGTTCTTTTAAAACAATGATTATATTAACATTTATTAAAATAAATCCCAACTTTTCAAAACATGTTGGGATAACATTTACTTTTCTACTGAAGAAGAGAATGGTTTGTTAATAAATAAAGATTTCAGAAGAAATATTTAACTTTCATAAGAAAAGAATGTTGCTACTACCATTAAATCATTTATAGGTTTAAATATGCCCATGTTAGCAAATCCTTATCTGTTCTTTAGAATTGTAGACCAAATGTTTGCCAGTATTTTGCTTACTTGTAGATTATAGTGCTTAATGGACTTTTAACTTTGTTTTCGTTTTTATCATTTTGTATGTGTTTATTTTTAAATATTCCATAATTTCTATTTCCTAATTGGTCTTTTTCTCATTTGTATTTAAGATTGAAATATTATATAATTAATTAATATACAGATTATTAATACTAGTACAACTGTGTTTAAAATTTGGTATAGAAAGTGAGATTTGGGGGAAAATACCATATGATTCACCTCTTTAATTTTTGCTATAAAGTAGGTAAGTGAACAGTGCACGATTAAAATGGGTCTTTCTCTTACACTTGGTAAACAAATTCCATTGGAACTAGTTGTGACTGATTTACAGATATTAGTGTTGATATGTGTCATTTCCATCTGAGGTCTGGGCCCTTTATTTCCTGCTGGATTAGTGTCTGAAAATGCCCAGTATAGTGCCTGACCCATGTTGAGCACTTCAATGTTAGTTGAATCTTCTGCCCCGAGTCATGGTCTGGGGTTGGCTTTTAGTGGGTTTAGGAGGTTGTACTGGAGAGGAGTTGGGTATAGATCAGCAGAATGAACTTATTTGAAGATGACAGGCTATATAAATTGGTAGTGCTGACCTTGCTCTTCTGTAGATTTTTACTTTCAAATGAATTGATTTAGTAACAAACTTGGACTGAATGACATGTACTGGGCCCTGTACAAGGCACTCCAGGAAAATAAAATCGGTTAAAATTAGAGTCTGTACATCCTACTGTGAAAGACAAGGCCCATCTGAGTGAAGACTGTGACAGCAGTGGCAGCATAATGAGAAGCACGCCATTTTTGTAAGACGTGTCTACACGGGATACTGCTCAGGGTACCAGCCGTGGAAGGAACCCTGGAGTCATTAACACCGGACCTCCTGTTCACCCTCTGTCATGCAGTCTTCTGTGAGCCCTGGAGAAAGACACCGAATCTCTCTGAACCTCCTTGTTATTATTTTAACACCTGACAGTCATATAGTCTTCTGGAATAGTTGATTAATTAATTCCCTTACTTAATGATTATGGTAGATTCTATTCTAGGCACTGGGAATACATTGAAATCTAAGATGTATCTGTTCCTCACACTGTTGCTAGAACTTTGTGGACAGATGAATATGCTAGACAAGTGCTGAAATGGAGGGATTGCACAAGATGCTTTGGGAACTCACAACAGAATAATTCTGCCCAAGGCTATCAGAATAGACTTTTTAAAGATGATGTCTTTGATCCAGACTTTGAAGGATGAGTAGAAATGTGTCCATTGGACAAAGAAAGACTGAAGGGCATCCGAGGAAGAGAGAAGTACAGATACAGAAAATTAGAATTGAGGAAATAAGATGTGTATTCAACCAAAGACCTGGCTCGTAAGGAGGCTGGAATACAGAATGTGGGAAGAAATGGAGTGACTGGAGATGAGGCTGTAAAGATAAAGTGAGCTCATGTTGTGAGAGAGATTGAATGGCAGTTTGGTTTGGTCATTGAGAATATGCTTCGGGAAAAGACCGCTGTTCGAAACCTGGCTCTGCCACTCAATCCCTTTGTCGAAAATCAGATTCTAAACCTCTTTATGTCTCATTTTCCTCACCTCTATAAGAAGAACTAACTATATTGCCCTTTAGAAGTTGCTAAGGGTGAAAACCAGCAGGCTCCTGCATGCCTCACCAGGTTGTCTACTGTAGTCAGCCACTCTGTTTTCCAAACATGTTCTGTATTTTCCTTCCTCTCTTGGTTATCCTGTTCTTTTCTACCCTCTCCTTCTTCAGCGTACAACTCATGTCCCCATCCTCAGATCTATTTCAGTTTTCCTGTGTTTCACAAAGCATTTCATACATAGCATCCTTCACACAATTTGTGTTCATTACGGGTCTAACAAATAGCATTTACCAATAAGCTAAGTTTTTCTCAATTTTTAATAGCTATCAGAATCTCTTAGATATAAAAATTAGACCCCTTAGAAAGTTTGAGGTAAAGCATCTGCCTGTGGTGCGGGAGACCCGGGTTTGATCCCTGGGTTGGGAAGATCCCCTGGAGAAGGAAATGGCAACCCACTCCAGTACTCTTGCCTGGAAAATTCCATGGACTGAGGAGCCTGGTAGGCTACAGTCCATGGGGTCGCGAAGAGTCGGACACGACTGAGCGACTTCACAGGCCAGAAAGTTTGAATCAGTAGGTTTGGGGTCAAGCCTGGGAATCTGCTATTTTTTCTCTTTACAGGTGTGTTTGTCAATTCCAAAACAGGCTGTCCGAGGACTCTTGGAGAAACTAAGGCCCAAGTGGAGAACAGTGTCTTTGAGAGCAAGGATTGTGATGTACCCACTTTTACTCTCAGGGTCTGTCATGTAAATGATGCTAAAGGATTGTTTCTGAAAGGGAAAGGCCTTTCAGAGGGTAATGTTTGAGTGGAGACTCAAGTTCTTGACAGAACCTGAAGAGCTTTTAATAAAGGTGTAAGAAGAAGCAGAAGACAACATTTCTCACACTCTTCCCAAACCACTTCTGCTAGGACTCGCTTTGTGGGAAGAGGGTTTGGGATGGTTCTTTTGGAAAATGCTGTTGACTAGATCTGCATCATCCTTCCCAAGTCAAACTGGAATAGTCAAGCTTCAGAGAAAGTTCTGCAGCCAAGAAACCCTTTTAATCCCAGATATTTTAAACTCTGACCAAGCGTTTTTTCCTGTTACACTCTTTTCCCAGATAATACCTTTTCATATCCTGCAGAATCAAATGTTCTAGGTATTCTCCTTGGAAACTGCTCACAAGCAAAAGTGTAACCTCAGGAATTGGCAGTTTTTGCAGGGGGATGGCCTCTGCTTACCTAGAATTAGAAGGTGCATGCTGGGAAATAATGAGAGATAAAAGAATTGGGGAATGTTGAGGGAAAGACATCTTTTCATTGTAGACTCTAGATTTTTATAATTGCTCTAAACTGTCATGGTCAGTTGTAAGTATTAAACTGCATGAATAGAGAGAAGTAATTCTAGGTGTAGTGCAAACTATAGCAGACAGCCTTGAGAACAGAAGACTTGGATTCAGGTGATACCTTTTGAAATGCAAAAGAATTCAGTCTGGAAAAAACATCTGGACATTTCAATTTAAAGTTCTAAGTTGCCTGCATACTTTTGGGATATATATTTAGGCTACTGAGGTGAAAAAAAACACACTATATTATTAACGATTGAAAAGTACACAATTGCAGGGAGTAGTTCCTATAAGTTTAAAAAAATTTTTTTTGTTGATTTTATTTGCATTTTATATGTTCTCGTAGTAGGGTAACATTATAATGTGGCTTACTTTCTGTCTAGAAAGAGCCTATATAGAAATCATTAACTTAAGTTGAAATTATAAGCAAAAAATGTACAAGTTTTTCCTGGAAAAATTATATATTCTCCTCTTTAAGTGAAGGGGGAGCTGCAGGACAAGTGGTCTACTCTGATTCAATTTGGCATGTTTTTTTAAAATCAGAAACTATTTAGTGCTGACAAAGTCAGACACATCTTTATATAATAACACATTTAATGTAGGTAATGTGGAAATTCTTTCATACTAAATCATAGTATAAAGCAGGTTTATTAGGCCATGAGAGTCGTAGGATATTTCAACTTCATGTAAAATATAAAATCTAACTTTATCACTGATTTATGCTAGAGAGCTTAAAATAATTATCAAGGAGGCTTTATTGTAAGATTAAAAAGTTTTCAAATAAACTAATTCCCATGGGACATTGTGCAGTGCTCCCTTGGTATAGTGTTCATATCCAGTGAGCAGAGAAGGTACCTTTATGTTTGGAGAGTTAGACCTTTGCCACTGAATCTATTTCTTGAAAAACAAGGTAGATCAATTGGATGATAGAAATGAATATCAACCAGAAAGCCAGGTGAAAACAGATATTTCAGATAGGGCCTTAATTCTTCTTCCTTTTTATTGTCTTTTCAGACAAATGACCATGGAAACAATTGACTCTCAGCAGGATGGAAGTTTACCAGATTCTGTGGCAGAGAGCGAATCTGCTCACATGCAGACGCAGACTGGTCAAAATTCAATCCCCACTTTAGCTCAGGTAAACTCAACGTAGGCATCAGGCATGCACCCGTGAAAGTCAGCCTGTGTGGAAATGAGAATTACACGCAGATTCTGCTTTCTTGCCATTAATCTTAAGTTTCCCCTGTTCCCTGGGTATCAGCCATTCTTACTGATGTTCCTTCAAAGAGAAGATATGTTTGAATTACTTTTGCATTGAAACAGACACTATGTAAAAGAGAAACAAAACCCCCTGCATCGTGTGTAGTCCTCAAATTACTATTTGGTAAGGTTGGTAATTCCAAATTGATGTAGTTTTGTATTCTCACCTCTAAAGATGACAGAAATCTTGCCATTTGCCCAGTATATACTTGGTTTAATCTTTACTTTCTTTTTAGTTAGGCCTTAAACTTTGAATTGGTTTCATTTAGAGAGCACCAATATGAGTTAGCTGTTTTTCAGCTCTTAAACCTCATTTCTGAGATATCTGTAAAAATATATAGTAAAAAGAGATACGTTTATTTAGTTCATCAACTACTTACTGAGCCCCTTCTGTATCTAGGCATTGTTTTGGATGCATTGAGGCTCTGGATTTCCTGGACTTGATGTCTCTCGGTTTAGTGTGTTTAAGGAAGAAGTCTTGCCATGTAAGAAGTGCTGCAAGATGTTACATAGAAATGACTGAGTTGTCAGAGGGGAAGCAGCTGGGTGACCAGGAGTGCTCTGTTGTCGTTCAGTCGCTCAATCATGTCTGACTCTTTGTGACGCCATGAACTGCAACACGCCAGGCTTCCCTGTCCTTCACTATCTCCCGGAGCTTGTTCAAACTCATGTCCATTGAGTCGGTGATGCTATCCAACTGTCTCGTCTTCTGTTGTCCCCTTCTCCTCCTGCCTTCTATCTTTCCCAACATCAAGGTCTTTTCCAGAAGTGAGTCAGTTCTTCGCTATCAAGGGCCAAAGTATTGGAGCTTCAGCTTGAGCATCAGTCCTTCCAGTGAATATTCAGGGTTGATTTCCTGAATATTCAGAGTGCTCTGTAGAGGGTTTTATTACGAAGGGTGAGTGGAGGTCACTGGGTATATAAGGAGAGGGAAGCATATTCTCTAGGCCAGGGAAGAGTATATAGAAGGCAGAGGGTGGTGGCAGGAACTGCTGGCGTTGAGGAGCTGTGTCTGGGCTGGGAAGTGGAGCTGGTCAGGGTTAAGTGGAGGGTGGTGTGCATCTGAGAGAGTGGACCATCCCATGTTCTAAGTGTTCACCAAAGCAGGATACCTGCGGCCAGGTGGTATTGGGTGGGACATCAGCAAGCCGGGAGCGGGGACCCCATTTGGGTGGCATCACAGTGACGTGAGTTCGAGCAGTAGAGAGACTTTGCAGTATCTGGAAGAGAGACTGGGAAGGGCCGATGGCTGCTGGAAGGCCCTCGGCAGTGCCAGGCAGCTCCTGGGTTGTCTCCGGCCAGCCTGGCTCCGGCATGGCCTGGACCCCGCCTGCCCTTCCGTCCTCTTTCGGGCTCCCAACACCCACTCGCTCCCTGGGGTTTCCTCCTCACTAGTGCTCTGTGGAGCTGCGTCTCCCTGGCAACACCCTTCTTTGTCACCCTGGAAAACAGGCATGCAGACCATGCTATTTTTCAAGAAAGCAGCCTTTTTCTCATTAAAAAAAAAAAAGTTACCTGTAGAAAATTGGCAAAATGTGTATTAATTTAATAATTAATTAATTCTTCATTTAAGAAGAAGAAAATTGAAGCCACGTGTAGTCTTTACAGGCAGAAATTTAATTGTTGTTAGCATCTTGATGTTTATGCTATTGTCTTTTTGTCTGCCAAAAGAGTAATAATAGAATATACATATATCTTTTGATTAATCTGGGGTCTTCTAAGAAGAGTTTTCTCTTAAGGTTTTTAAAATTACATTTATTTCTTAAAAGTTAACCTGTGCATAATAGGAAACCAAAGCAAAAACCAAAGTCATCCAGAATCATAAGCACTTTACCATCTGATGCATCCTTTTAGATCTCATTTGTGTATTTACACAACCAAGCATCCATTTTTATGTAATTGAGATCTTACAGTTATGTATCATGCTTTTTCACACATCACAATTATTTACCATTTCAAAGTCCCAAGTGTGTTAGTCACCCAGTCACGTCTGACTCTTTGCGACCCCATGGACGGGAGCCTGCCAGGCTCTTCTGTCTATGGGATTCTCTGGGCAAGAACACTGGAGTGGGTTGCCATTTTCTTCTCCAGAGGATCTTCCCAACCTTGGGATTGAATCTGGGTCTCCTGCATTGCAGGCAGATTCTTTACTGTCTGAGCCACCCAGGAAGTCCAGTCCTGCCTGCCTTGGTGACAGATATTTCAGAAAAGACCAAAATGGCAACTAGAGTTTTTATAACTGTGATTCCAGATCTTTAGTTCACCTTTGGCTGAAGTGCCAGTTGAGAGCAACTCTTCCTCCTGCGCCCACTTCTCTCCCTGTAGGTACTGCTTTCCTGTCCTTTACACACCTTTTCCTCCAGCCTTCAGCCTGGGTGACACCCAGCTCTGTAGCCTCGGTCAGAAGTTGCTGAAGATGTCAAGTAATGTAAAGTCTGAAAAATAACCTCGGATTAATGAGGTTTTTGAAATCTCATAGGAGTCTAGTTAACAGAAACCAGGCTTTAGTAGGTTACAAAATAATTAAGAGAGAGAGAAGGTAGAAATTGGAAGTATAGATTCTTCAAGAGTTTTCCTGTGAAAGAGAAAGATGGGTCTGGGAGACAAAGGAGTGTGAGCTGGGGTGTGGGGAAGTTTGAAGAGTTAAATAAAATAGAAGGGCTCAGAGACAGAGACTTGTGAGAAGGCTGAACCACAGAGCAAGGAAAAGGCTATGGTTTACATTCATAATGTTTACTTCCTTAAAAATCTCAAGTATATCAAATGTTGATAGTCATTACATCTGGATAGCAAGTTCATAGACCTGCTATCTTATTCTATTTTCCATGTATTTAAAACACTTGGTCAAAAATTATATCATGGTGTTTATCTTTCACATACTAGGAATGTTAAGAGATTAAGAAGAAATCTGTATGCTGATTCATTGATTCTTTTGATTAAGTAAGAGTTATCCTCCATGGATGTGAGGCCATAAATCTTTTATGGATCATGATGTTTTGCAGAATTAGGACACAGTTCTTTGTAGTCAAAATTTTCTGAATGTTATTATCAATTTAGATTCTTGTAATGCCTGAAGCAGTTCATTTGTGAGTATTCATTATTATGCAATATTATATGATAGAAGGATTAGGAAATCTTCATTCATTAAGCCTATAATGTATGCTAAAAGTGACTGACTCTTCTGAATAATTCCTGATATTTTGTATATTCTTGCCACTTATTTTAAACTAGAGGATTATGAATTCCCAGATGTTTTAGACTTAAATTCAGTCTTGTATAAAGCGGAATTTGTGACACTTACTTTCCTTTTCACGTGGTCTATTTATCATTGAACAGTGTAAGAACAAAAGATATAACCCAAAGTTTTAATGGGTGTGATCCTTTGCCTCTGATCATTCGATAGTAGTAGTTTTGCCTATCCAGGCCTTTCCAGGGATTCTGCTAATCAAGTTAACGCTGCAAATCATCCCAGTTATAAAGATGTGAAAACTTAAGCTTGCTCTTGGCCCTCACACCTCTGCTCTGCTGACTGAGGGAGGGAGGCTAGAGTTCTCAGTTTGCAGTGTTTCTGTTTTATAACTTCCCAGGTATCAGTGGAGCCTGCCCCTTCTGTCCGTATCCAAGAGCAAATAGAGATCAAGTGGTAACAGTATCCAAGGGCTGTAGGCTGGCATGGAAGATTGTTGAGGTTTAAGTACTGTGACTTGTGTATTTTCTTGCTTTGAATTATTTTTTTAAAAAATTGAAGTTGGAGTCTTGTCTAAGTGTATATGTTGATATGTATATAAGACTACAGTCTACTCCTCTCCCCCTGGAAAAACTGTTGGTGATAAGTTAAGAGAGTCTATTTTATATCACCAAGCCAGGAGAAAACCCTTTCCCAAAGCCAAAATAGTGACAAGCAAAATTACTGTATATACAAGTAGTCTTAAAAGTTACACATAGAGCCTTTGGAAGTAATATAATCTTTAAATGGGTAATGGGAACATATCATTTCTTTTGTGATGAAAGACTTCAGACATATGTAAGAGTAGAATAAGACTTCAACATTTATAGAAACCTAAAATTAAGATTTTGTAGCACTTGCTACAAAATTTATATTTTTTTAATTTTTCTTTTTCCCTTTTTGTGAAAGAATTTTAAGCAGCTCTACAGATCTCAGACATCATGTCATCTCATTCCTCCTTTCTTCTGGGTATGCAGTGCTTATGCATATTATCTAAAATAACCAAATGTCATGAGCATACCTAATAAAACTGAGCGTAATTCCTTGGCATAATAGGCTCCATACTCATGTTTTCTCATTTATCTCACAATGTGTAATCTGCTCTGAAAGCAGCAGTGATGGCCCCTGCCCTTTGTTTGTCCCATGTCTCTTGGGAATTGATAATGCTGCCATGAAGCTCTTGTCTGAGTAAGGGAACCCGGATGGAGCCCTGGGAGAGGGTGTGCTGTCTGGGGTTTCATGCCTTACAGCTCCTGATGCAGCCCAAGGCCTGACTCGGAAGGCTCAATAACTCTGCTGTGTAGATGACCAGTTCTCAAAGTTTCAGCCAAGATAGGAAGGAAAGATGCAAGGAGCAGAAACTCGAGAGCATCAGGGTCAGCACAGTGCCTTGAGAGACTTAGTTCTAATATAAAATTCCAGCTTTCTGACCCCCTCTGTAGTTTTAGGAACAGGAGGACTCTGTGGAGCCGAGGAAGCCACTAGGGTGTATTGTTCAGGGATTGCAGTCTGCTCACTCCTTCCTTACCCTGTCTGCTGTAGATGCCAGCGGTGTGTTAAAGAAGCACCTTCAAGGAAAACAGGCCTGGCTTGCAGTGAGGGATTGGAGTAGGAACGATTGATTTAACAAGGGATAGGTTTCAGTGTATGAC